ATCTAAAATTTCTCGCAATAAGATGTATAAATTCCAGTAAGGATTACTTTGATCAACTAAATCTTTTATTAAAATTCCAAGATATTTTGCGAGCGTTGTCAATTCAGCGGCCGTCATTTTCAATTTTGTTTCACTCTTAATATCTTCTTCTCGAATAGGGGGAGGTCTATTAGAGCAATCAATTGGTCCATAGTCAAACATTAGCAAGTGATTATTTAATTCAGACAAGGGAAAAGAATAAAATTCACTCTTTTCGAAAGTAAGTGCTCTGAGAATGGCAATTATATCATCGTGAGCTAGGCTTTCCCTAATATCATGCATTTCATCAACACTAAAATTTTGAGTACAATGAAATGACCTTATTTTGTGGAATACACATTCCTCTTTGATACCTGTCTGCGAAATATTATTCAATTTAATATCTTCTTCATAGTTTTTTGGAGTTCTTTTCAATTCAGGTAAAGTAACAAAGGTATTTTTACATTCATTTTTACTTAATTTACAAAATCTACAATAATATGTTGCCACGAATGATTCGGTGAATCCCAACAACCCATGCAACCCAAGGTTATCACCTAGTATAAGACCTAATACAAAATAAACTGTTTTTGTACCCGTACGCGTATTAATTTGTATCCCTTTTTCTTCTAAAAATTTAATTCCATTTACGAGTGGACGATAGATATTATTCTTACTGATCATTTTATTATTTGTGTTACGCACCCAAGATTCATAAAGAAGGACAAGTAGCATGTTTTTTTAATTGTGATCTACACTCTGGTGGCAAACACGGAAATGACGCGTACATAGCCATTACTTTTCCCGAATGTGAGCTAAGAGGATTGTTAACCTCGACGTCGTCACCAGATAAAAAATAAGGAATTACAATATCCTGTTCGGAATATTTTGATCGTTTCATGGCCCACAATTTACCCTGAATAAAATTTTCCATAACTGCTGAATCTTTTGGTATACTCGACATATAATTCAATGTTAAATCTAAAGTATCACTTGTTTAAAAAAAAGACTTGAATGAAAGGCTTAATGGTATATACTGACCGCATATATTGACATATTTACCAGTATATCCTTGCTTATTTTTTGTAGTTACATAAACACGATCAATCACATATGAAGTAGGTTGTATGAGTGTTCCAGACGAAGCAAAAAATTCCGAACGCAAATGCTCCGTACTCAAGTGATCAAAACAATTTTTCAAATCTTTAAACATAGTTTTAATTTTACCATGATTATCTGGCGGACAATTTAAGTTTGATAGTGTATTATTAACTACGGATTCGAGCACTCCCAAAAAAGTGTCACCAATGAAATTACGCGTATCGTCAATTACCGATTGAACAATATTTCGAGGCAGGCTGGAATTTGCATATAGCTTAGCAACAAATTTTTCAGCAGCGGTGTTTACTTTAGATCTAAATTCATTAGTATTAATATTATCGTTTTCATTGTTTATTACTATTTCATTGTGACTTAAGCTGGTTTCTGTTTCTATTTTCTTTTTATCTTTATCGTTTAAAATTTCTTGTGTCTTTATTGTTGATGAGCAATGACTTTTATCTGTTAATGTCGGCTGCAATGGAAACTGATGGGCCAATTGTAAATGTTTACGGAAAGAATTTAAAATGTTAAATCTAGAATGACATCCTTTTTCACCGCAATCATACTGATTTTCAGAATCAGCATGTGTTACCGAAAGATGAGTTATTAAAGCTTTGATCGAATTAACTTTTAAAGAACAAATGCTACACGTTGGCATTTTGTATAAAAATAAGAAATCGGACGAAATATTAAATTAATTATTTATCAATAAAACAAAAATTGATTAAACAATAAGAATACTTTTAACTTAATTGAATAAAATAGTAATTAAATAATTTTTTTTCGAATACAGAGGTATTCTTAGATCTTAAAATTTTTGAATTGGCCGATTAAAGTTTCTACGGCACTGTAGTGAGGCTCTTTTTTTGTTAAACGGCAAGTTCCATAAAACGCGGTGGAAAAACTGCCACACTTGGGTAACTTCAGCTGGATAATGTGCATGTAGTGCAGTTATGCACTTGAAGAGACTTACAAATCCAACTAATGGGCGCTCCACAGTGTATCGATAATCTTTAAATAAATAGACTGACGTTTGGATGATGTCTTGAAAAGTAGGTCCAACCACTACGGCGAACGGTTGGAGAGTGTAGTGGTATTTAGATAAATGCTCAATCCTTTTCGCCACTTCAGCATCAATATTTGAAACTGCTTGTTGTTAAATTAATAAATTATTATTGAATAATCATTAAACATTACAATATAAAACTGATCTTTATATTAGGGGGTTGCGAATAGTGATCGAACCGAATCGAATCGAATAGTAAGTTAAAGTACCCAGTAGTTGAACCGGTTTCGAAGTAAAACGTATCTGACCCTACTTTTAATATATAAAGATGTAATTATTAGTTCAAATTAGTGATTTTCATGAAAATATGAACAATTTTGAATTGATTGAAGTGCAAAATAACGCAAATAATTGAATATTTATATTTTTATAACGTTTTTAAGATAGACCATGAAAGGAGTAGTAGTTGAACAATCAATTCTGACAAGCCTTAGTAGTTGAATACTCTGGGAGCAGTAGTTGAACTAATAAAATATTTGGCAATAGGCACACCAAAAATTTTTAACGTTTTATTTAAATATTCAAAGATTTATAACATATTATTGAATAATACTAAAAATAATACTATAAATATTTAATATGTTCATTTAAAAATGAAAAATATTTGTATGACATTTTTTATGAATGACAAAGTAAATTTTCAATTATAAATCAAAAAAACTCAATTCAAAACATTCAATAATTTTAACTATACTAATTTTTAATTATAAAACTTATTTAATTTGCAGTAATTAATACAAATCACAATACTGATCACTAGTCTATAAATCTATTAAAGGTTAGAGTGCTGTTAACATTATACGGTCCCAGCTTGTTCTAGTTCTGGGTACCGCTTTGAAAATTGGATCAGACATTGAAAGAGTGTAATGTAGCAATGAAAAGCGATAATCCTAAAGTTAAGCTTAAGTTAAGTTCAAGTCGTGATTAATCACAATCACTACGATACTGCGATTCAAAATTCCATACTATCAACCCAAAAGAGAAGAGGGCGTAAGACAAATGCTGAAAGACTCGCTGAGGCTGGCTTGCAGAATGGGTCATTGACAGACTATCTCCAAAAAAGACCTACTGATAGCACTAGAGTTAAAAAAGCACTTATTTAAGATTTCGAAGATGAAGATAGAGTAAAAGAAGATGCAGATGATCCAACTTCAATACAACTCTCTAACAAAAGTCAACCTAACAATGAATAGGGCCGAAGAGGTCTGCTAACTATCATCAGTGACCGTACCCTTGAAGACACCACAAGGCTCTTTAATAGCCTTAACCATCCAAACTCACAGAGAGTGAAACACGACATAAGAGTTGTTCTGAAGCAAAACGGAAATACCGCCAACGACCAGAAGACATCAACGACCCCTCAACGATCACAAACACATGAGATTGACGTTAGCCAGCGTGCATCTCGAATAGCTAGTTCCCAAAGTCACAACACAAAAAGTGATGGAGCTGATAATACAGGAAGAACTAGAACAATCGCGAGACCAGAAGTGAGTCACAAATGTGTGGATTTATAACAATTACATAGACAGGGAAGCACATGTAGAAACGTGGGTAAGACGATTAGTAGCAACACAAAAACAGTCAAACCACAATGTGCAAGCCAAATATAAGAATATGTGGACAGACGATCAACTCTGGAGATGGAACAAGATTAAAGGCGATCTGTTCGAGTATACATTTTGGAACGAACAGCTCTAACAAAAACAACCTAATAATCAAACAATGGAACGAAGCAGGAATTAAATGCGAAAAGTTGCGTGGAAGTTTCTTGATGAGTCTGGCATGGTACTACTAGAAGAAACGTGGGTTACCAAAGAAATGGAAGATAAAACAATAAAAAGACTGAGCAATAAATTCGTGTGGGGGTTGAAACCAGCGATAAAACAAAAAGATAAACAAGGTAGAACAAGTGGCGATCAACTATTGGATATAAAAATCAAAAAATGCAATAACTGAATGATGACTAATGGAATTATGGATTCCACGCGGTTAATAGCGAGTTCAGCCTCAAAAATATTTACAACAACGTTGGATTCTGAAAGTTAATTAAAGACCTAAGAAGTGAAATTTTCGAAGCTGTCAGGAACAGCAAAAAGACATTTATCATTGGTGACCTAAACGCAAGAGTTGGTAAAGAAATAGGCTACGAAGACTGCAAATGGAAGGACCTTGATGGTTTAACAAGAGGCTTTCAGGACACTGTAGTTAACTCAGAAGGAAGGAAACTATTTAAATTGAGTAAAGAGTTGGGATTATATTTAGCAAATGGCTGCATCAAGGCGACTACATGGGAAGATCTAAAAAAACTAATCTGGAACGCAGCATCAAACTTTGAGATGACCTCAAAGGTCAAGAAGAATGATCAGCGTACTGAACCTTGATATAATAAAAATCAAGAACAGCAAAAACAAATGTGTGGACTAGTCTAAAAGCATATTTTCCGAATAAAAATGAAAAAGGCAAGGAACAGCCGAGAATCGCGCGCAAGATTCCGTGAGGTTCTCAGAGAGGAAGAAAATAAATGGAGGGACAAGCTGTGGAAAGAATTAACACAGTGTAAAAACATGTCACAATGGTGGAAAAAGATTAATTATTACAGAGGTAACAAGAAAAGCACTCCCAGTGATACTATCAGTGATGGGGAAATGATCGAACATTACAAGAAGATCCTATGTAGATCTAACCACGATGACCTAGAAGACAAAGAAATAACACCTGAACTAGAAGCAAAGCACAGGAACACAATACATAATAAAGAGTTGGATGAAGAGGTTACGATGCTTTCAAAGACCTTAAGGATACTTTAACGAAGCTAAGAAATGGCAAAGCAGCCAGAGAAGATGGCATCACCATCGAGATCATGGAGACTAGATAAGGAGCCCGAACTCTATGTATACAAATAGCGTCTAAAAATAAGAGGGCGTTAGTGTTCCATTTGTACCGAAATGGCGGGGAGTGAAAGCGGTAGTTTCAAATGGAATTGATAGAATGAATAAATTTTGAATCCAATTCAATGAATGAATGAATGAATTAATTAATTAATTAATTAAAAAATGAATAAATAAATGAGTAGAGTAAAATAATTAAATTATTTAACAGTACTTAGTGAAATAATTTAAATAAATTAATTTTTTAAGAAAAAGAAAGTAATTAAATAAAATCAACAAAACTTATTTACCGTAATTAGTTTTAAATATTAATGTAATTAATAATGTAATTTACTCATAGAAATGAAATAATTTTTTTATAATTTTAATAAGTTTTAAAGGTTAATAGTAATGAGAAAAATTTTAATATAGATAAATATTATGTTGTTAACCGTACAACTTTTTTTTATAAAGAAAATAAGTTATTTATGAGATAATGATTAATTAAATAGAAGATAATAATTCAAGTAATGAATATTTAAAATAAGATTCGTTTAAATTATAGTTTATGTTACTAGTTTTGAAGTTTTTTTCAGAGTTTTCATTTTTTCTCTTCTCAACTGATTTCTCTTGTTAAAATTTCTACCGAGAAAATACAGCCTCATGGTTATGTAAAAATCAATTATTTCTTTGGTGATTTCAAGCTGATGAACTGCACACCCTACTAATGATAATGTTGGTAGAATTTTCTCAACTCGGTTTAATATTTTATAAATAATTCCACGACTCAGCCCCACTTTACCAACAACGTCCAAAAAAGCAGCTTCTAATTGCACAGTCAATTGAAATAAACCGTCACTTGCTCGCGATAATCCTCCATACTTTTCCATCAAATCAATGAAACGGTCCCGGCAATGCGATTCATCATTAGACGATTGAAGACTTTTCAAGCACAATAGGCACTTACACTTAGCTTTTTAAGTTTTCTAACGATATAACCGGCCATGTAAGCCTGAACTTCTCGGCTTGTTGACACAACGTCATAATCATGGTCTTGAAGCATGCATTCCTCTGTTATAAAAGTATTTGGCTCTGATTCTGTAATTGTATCACTTAAGTCATTTTCACTCATGCACTGCCATCGTTATTGTTGCATGAATTATCTTGCCAAATTGCATCAAGCGGTACAGCGTTCTCAAGCATTTGGTCAATTTTTTCCAACCACTCCATTCGCGGCTGACGAGACATTTCCAATGAGTCCTTTGTCTTCATTAGAGTTTGAAGTAATTCAACTCCAGTTACATTTGAACCTTTTGGCGGTTTAATCATGGCATTGCAACAATACAAACGAAAAACTTGACCAAACTGCTGAGGAGTTGGATGATCATTGGCACCACAACTGTATCTCATAATAGAAAACAATCTCTATAAATAAATAATAATAATATTAATAATAATAATAATAATAGAAAAAATTTGAGCATTCAATAGATAGAATTTCTTAGACTATTACCTCAAGATTATCTTGAGTTAACCGAGATGTTAGAATATATTCGTATCCATAATCATTGTGTAACTCAGATAAAATTTCCAAAGTTGCTCGTAACGTTACTTTAAAACCCGATATAGAACTAGAAGATATAGGGAAAAGTTTTTTTTTTGATTTGGATTTTGGAGTCGTTTTGTTTGATACTGAGTTTGTTGGAGTTGAGCTTCTTGGGGTAGATTTTTTTAATACTGAATTTTTCGGAGTTAAACTTTTCGGGGTAGATTTTTTTAAAACTGAGTTTTTTGGAGTAGAGCTTCTCGGGGTAGATTTTTTTAAAACTAAGTTTTTTGGAGTTGAGCTTCTCGGAGTAGATTTTTTTAATACTGAGTTTTTTGGTACTGAGCTTCTCGGAGTTGATTTTTTTAATACTGGGATTTTAGGATCGGAGTTATTTGGATTTTCTTCATTTAAAACTGAATTTTCTGAAATGGATTTCTTTGGAGTAGATACTTTAGGAGTTTTTGTGGTAGTAAACATTTTTTCCCAATCTTCTAAAAACTTCAATAAAGTTAAAATGGCCTGTGTTTACAAAAAAAGGAAAAGAACATACGGAAATTAATTTATGGAAAAAAATAGACAAAAAAATTATTGGTAAGTTTTTAATAGGAAGCATTAATAAATAATAGTATGCATAGAAGTGTCAAAAAGCGTTTAGAAGTTAGTATTGCGAAAATATTTTAAATTGTTAGTATTGTTCTTAATTTGTCATCTCCTGCCAGCATCGATTATGGGTGAATTTTGTATTACTACTCTTATCCGATTTGATTTCTTCAACTGTTTATCCACGAATAAAAATTTGCAAATGCGCTGAAAATAGGAATAATTTTTTTTATTGATTCTATCAATCTTTGGAGTCTGTGGTGACGTCGATTACCAGAGTATAACAGATGATACAGTATTGATAGAAGACAGCATACGATGAAAATTATTGAATCCATTGTCAGCTACAATCATTCTGTAAATCATTGAAATTTAATTATAATTCATCTTTTTATAAGACTTGTAATCTTAAATTAATGTTTAGTAAAAAAGCATATGAAAAGTTAGTAATAATTATATATTTAAGATTTAACAAGAAAGTATAAAAGCATAAAATATTAATTTCGAAAAATATGATCTAAATCTGAAAGCAAAATAACACATAAAAGCAAATTAAAGCATTTCCAAACATTTTCAATATTTATATCTATTTTATTACTGACAATACACAGAAAAAGTTATTTACTTTAAACAAGAAAATTTTAATGGAAATTCGAGGTTGTTTTGGAGCAAGAAATATTTATCGAAACTCAAGAAAATTAGTTATCTTTCTGTGTATTATAAGTATGGTAAGTACGCGCATTAAAATATTTAATTATTAGCTCTTGAATTTTTAAAAAATTGAAATTTTGTATTTTTTTACATCCAAAACATCGATATTTTAAACCCCAAAGATGTTAGTAATAAGGCAAATTAGAGAATAGATGAACATATATAATCAATGATTTTTGCAAGTAAGAAATAATACTAATGTTTCTCATACTGTAAGAAAAGATGAATTCCAAACGAACCTTAAAAAAATAATTGTTCAAGTTGCTTAAGCTTCCTCATTGAGAAAAATTAAGAAAGTAAGTTAGCTGTTTTCATGAAGAATGTAGTTAAAGTAATTGATAAATCAAGTTAGTTTCTTAGCCTAATTTATTTGATTACGAAAATTGTGTAATTGTAGCTCAAATTATAAAGTCTACTGATTCATGACACTCTTTTTACTACAAAATGTTCCTTTTTATTAAAAATTTAATTTTTGATAGAATGAGGTAAATAAATCATGCAGGTAAATTATTAGAATAAAAAAATTTTATACAAAAACTTTTGTAATAAAATATCCACAACAAAAAATATTGCCACATGAAAATTTTGAATTAATTAAAAATTTTCATGTGGCAATATTTTTTGTTGTGGATATTTTATTACAAAAGTTTTTGTATAAAATTTTTTTATTCTAATAATTTACCTGCATGATTTATTTACCTCATTCTATCAAAAATTAAATTTTTAATAAAAAGGAACATTTTGTAGTAAAAAGAGTGTCATGAATCAGTAGACTTTATAATTTGAGCTACAATTACACAATTTTCGTAATCAAATAAATTAGGCTAAGAAACTAACTTGATTTATCAATTACTTTAACTACATTCTTCATGAAAACAGCTAACTTACTTTCTTAATTTTTCTCAATGAGGAAGCTTAAGCAACTTGAACAATTATTTTTTTAAGGTTCGTTTGGAATTCATCTTTTCTTACAGTATGAGAAACATTAGTATTATTTATTACTTGCAAAAATCATTGATTATATATGTTCATCTATTCTCTAATTTGCCTTATTACTAACATCTTTGGGGTTTAAAATATCGATGTTTTGGATGTAAAAAAATACAAAATTTCAATTTTTTAAAAATTCAAGAGCTAATAATTAAATATTTTAATGCGCGTACTTACCATACTTATAATACACAGAAAGATAACTAATTTTCTTGAGTTTCGATAAATATTTCTTGCTCCAAAACAACCTCGAATTTCCATTAAAATTTTCTTGTTTAAAGTAAATAACTTTTTCTGTGTATTGTCAGTAATAAAATAGATATAAATATTGAAAATGTTTGGAAATGCTTTAATTTGCTTTTATGTGTTATTTTGCTTTCAGATTTAGATCATATTATTCGAAATTAATATTTTATGCTTTTATACTTTCTTGTTAAATCTTAAATATATAATTATTACTAACTTTTCATATGCTTTTTTACTAAACATTAATTTAAGATTACAAGTCTTATAAAAAGATGAATTATAATTAAATTTCAATGATTTACAGAATGATTGTAGCTGACAATGGATTCAATAATTTTCATCGTATGCTGTCTTCTATCAATACTGTATCATCTGTTATACTCTGGTAATCGACGTCACCACAGACTCCAAAGATTGATAGAATCAATAAAAAAAATTATTCCTATTTTCAGCGCATTTGCAAATTTTTATTCGTGGATAAACAGTTGAAGAAATCAAATCGGATAAGAGTAGTAATACAAAATTCACCCATAATCGATGCTGGCAGGAGATGAAAAATTAAGAACAATACTAACAATTTAAAATATTTTCGCAATGCTAACTTCTAAACGCTTTTTGACACTTCTATGCATACTATTATTTATTAATGCTTCCTATTAAAAACTTACCAATAATTTTTTTGTCTATTTTTTTCCATAAATTAATTTCCGTATGTTCTTTTCCTTTTTCTGTAAACACAGGCCATTTTAACTTTATTGAAGTTTTTAGAAGATTGGGAAAAAATGTTTACTACCACAAAAACTCCTAAAGTATCTACTCCAAAGAAATCCATTTCAGAAAATTCAGTTTTAAATGAAGAAAATCCAAATAACTCCGATCCTAAAATCCCAGTATTAAAAAAATCAACTCCGAGAAGCTCAGTACCAAAAAACTCAGTATTAAAAAAATCTACTCCGAGAAGCTCAACTCCAAAAAACTTAGTTTTAAAAAAATCTACTCCGAGAAGCTCAACTCCAAAAAACTTAGTTTTAAAAAAATCTACTCCGAGAAGCTCAACTCCAAAAAACTTAGTTTTAAAAAAATCTACTCCGAGAAGCTCAACTCCAAAAAACTTAGTTTTAAAAAAATCTACTCCGAGAAGCTCAACTCCAAAAAACTTAGTTTTAAAAAAATCTACTCCGAGAAGCTCTACTCCAAAAAACTCAGTTTTAAAAAAATCTACCCCGAAAAGTTTAACTCCGAAAAATTCAGTATTAAAAAAATCTACCCCAAGAAGCTCAACTCCAACAAACTCAGTATCAAACAAAACGACTCCAAAATCCAAATCAAAAAAAAAACTTTTCCCTATATCTTCTAGTTCTATATCGGGTTTTAAAGTAACGTTACGAGCAACTTTGGAAATTTTATCTGAGTTACACAATGATTATGGATACGAATATATTCTAACATCTCGGTTAACTCAAGATAATCTTGAGGTAATAGTCTAAGAAATTCTACTTGAAAATATTTATTGTTTTTATTTATTAAAATATATAAATATTGATTACTAAAATAAAACAAAAAATCGCTTATTTAATGGGAAATTATTTATTTTTCTTTATAAAGTAATTTTTTTTAATTCTATAAAATATTAAAAACAAACTGTTCTTTAACTTGTTTCAGCTTAAACTATTATTTATTTTTACACCTTCTCAACATTTATCAATGATTACGTTCTTGTCATATGAATATTATAAAACAAACAATTATTTTTTATATATATGTAATTAGAATAACATAAGAAGAAAAAATTATTCATTTAAATATAATTCGTTTAAACTTAGGTTAAAGTTAAAAAAATATAGGAATATCAGATATAATTAGTAAGTTTAAAAATATTAGAAAATTTCAAAAAAAAAGATTTTTTTGTTCCTTTAATATTGATAAATTTTGAGAAAGTGTATAAATAAATAATAGTTTAAGTTGAAACAAATAAAAAACAGTTTGATTTTAATATTTTATATAATTAACAAAAAATTACTTTATAAAGAAAAATAAATAATTTCCCATTAAATAAGCGATTTTTTGTTTTATTTTAGTAATCAATATTTATATATTTTAATAAATAAAAACAATAAATATTTTCAAGAAGAATTATTCTTATTTAGAATAAAAAGGTTGTGTTTGTATTTATATAGATTATATATAATTTAAATTTCCTTTACCGCCAGTTACCTAAAAAAATTTACCTTACCGACAACTAATTTCTTACTTATGACTTAGAAGACTTAGAAGACAGATCAATTGTCGTTCTTTTGTAATGTTTCATGGGTTACAGTTTAATTTTTTTCATAAATATGATATTTAAATGTTTTAATGTGTGTATTTTATTATATAGAATTTACTATTATATGACATACATTAAGTGTTATGTATGAAGTATTAAATGTATATAACTTGTTAGAGAGCAAGTTACTTTTTGAATTCCTTTAGAATTATTACATTGGCTACATTTCCGTTCGGATCACTCAGATGACCCCGAATTTTTCGATAGATGACAGCACGGTTTGTGTCTTTTCGGATATATTCGTTTTCGGTAAGTTTCGCTTATAACAAAACTAAGGGTAGCCCTAAACACGGAAGTTCGTCGTTGTATCTTAAAATATTAAATATAAAAAATAAAACACGTGCTTGAAAAAAGTTTATAATTACGTCAATTATTTTCGCAATTTTATATTATTATCCAGTAAATAAAATTTGTTACACACTATGGCTCAACGTGCTATTCCATCTGATATTCTCGACGATTTAAGCAGGTTAGTTTTTATACTATTAAATTGTTGTGATCAGTTATAAAATTTTTTAATTAACTAATTATTTACAATTTTATCACCTTGAAATAGTTAATTTTTATAAATTTTTCTCTTAATAACTGTGATATCAAAATTAGTAGACATTTAATGATTTAAATGATTTTTTTTTGACACATTGTAAAAAAATCCTCTTGCAGAAATTATAAAAAAACTAATTTTAAGAAGCTTCTAAGTATGGAATTTTTTAAATAATTTTTTTTGCTATAATTTATTTGTTAAAAAATTTATCAAATGTCTCTCAATCTTAGTATCAGATTCTCAATCAAAAAATTTTTACAATAATACAAAAAATTATTTTTGTAATAGTAAAAATAAATATATTTTACCTAATTTTCAGTCGATTTATAATAAACATCCCAGAAGAAGATCGGAAGGATTTGGTGCGAATCTGCTTCCAAATAGAATTAGCTCATTGGTTCTACTTAGACTTTTACTGCGGGGATGAGCCGAGCAAGCTGAAATCATGCAGTATGAAGGAATTCTCGGTGCATCTCTTCCGGCACATACCATTTCTCAGAGCGCATTTACCGCACTTGGACATGATACTCGAGCAATGGCGAGAGTATAAGCAGAGCGTGCCGACCTTCGGCGCTATTGTACTAAACGAAGACATGAGCAAAGTACTGCTTGTCCAGAACTACTGGTCAAAAAACAGCTGGGGCTTCCCTAAAGGTAAAGTCAATGAAGATGAAGACCCCTCGCACTGCGCTGCGCGTGAAGTGCTGGAGGAAACCGGATTTGACATCTCCAGCTTCATTGACAAAAATGATTTCATCGAGTCCATAATTAACGACCGGCTTGTTCGGTTGTATATGATCTCCGGAGTCCAGAAAGATACTAAGTTCCAGCCACTAACCAGGAAGGAGATTAAGAATGTTGAGTGGTTTGCGCTGAATGATTTGCCCAATACCACCAAGGACATGACGCCTAAAGTGAAGATGGGTGTTGGACCTAACGCTTTTTTTATGGTTGTACCATTTGTTAGGTAAATTATTTATTTATTTATTTTTAATAAAAATAATAATTTAAATTAATTTTTAATTATAAATTACTTCAGTAATTACTTATTTCACAATTTACAGAATTATTTTTGTTGATTGTCATTTTCCCACTTGAATTTTTCAGAGAAAATATGAAATTTAAAAATTTCATCTGATTAAAAATTAAATTTAGAGTAAAAGTACCAAATATTGACCAGTTTAGATAAAATAAACATAAGGGGGAACACCGCACTGTGACGATCGAAAAAAAGAGGTGATTTTCGGGAATTTTTTTGACAGGGAAAATAAAGGAATTTGGGGATCTTTTTTTTTTATTTATTTTTAAATTATTTAATTATTTTTAAATATTAAATTGTGATATAATTAACGTTATAGCTGATTGCTCCGAATATTGACAATTACGCACTAAATATTGACCGCCTATGTTCCTAATACTGACCAGTAGTATTATGCTTACTAGACTTACTAGGTACATTGGATAATCTACAATAATTGTTAATCTATATTATTAAGAGAATAAGCAAAATTTTGTGGCCAGTGTATTTATATGATAAAATGGGTTTTTATGGTTAAATTTGGTATCATTGGAAAAGTTTTGACCTGGAGTTGTGCCTTTTCATGGTTTCATATCATTCTCATCAATAGTCAATTTATGATAATAAGTATTTAGGCTGTATTCGAAAATGCTCGATCTTTGGATACATAATTAAGAAATTACCTTGTATCTCGTGAACTATTGACATTTTTAAAGATATATGCTCACACTGACATTACACTGACAAAAGGTTTCATCGAGACCTTTCATTTGAGTACCCACAATCAATTTTTCATATATTTATATATATTATAAAAATTTTATTAATTAATATTATGAAAAAAAAATTATTATTTTTAAAGAAATTATTAATTTTTAATTTTCAGACGGATGAAACGTTGGGTATTTGAAAAGCAGCAACATGAAAAGCAACTTTCCAAGCGTAACCGGCATAAATCACTCGGTGATGTTGAAAGTGTAAAACACAAACGTCAACCATTACCGGTAATTTAAATTATAAACTTTGATTATCATTATTAATAGAACTAGCTGTTACCCGCCCGCTCCGCTGGGCGTTTATAGAATTTTATTTGTAGATTTAAACTTGAAATTTAATTGGAGTATTGTATTGACTTACAGAGATTCCGAATTTCATCGAATTGGTATTTACCTTCTATCCATGTGATCATTCTAGCTAATATTTATTGTAACTTTTAATGTGCAATTAATATAACATTCTCGTGGCTTTCTTCAAAAAATGAATAATAATTAACACGAAGAAAAAAATTTGAAATGAGCATTGAAAGTTTCAGTTAAAGTTATTGTAGGTCTCATAAGTGAAATTGAAATCTGCCTAGCTCAAAGTGCAGCGAATTTTGCTGTTAATTAAAATTTCTTCCGTAATGAGAACAATTCATCGGTTAGTGATCAGCAAAAATAAAATGTATGTTAATCTTTTAGTCCGTTGACTGAATAGCTACGTGTAAAGTAAAATTTTGGAAACGTTATAATGACTTTTTAGCCGCTGCCAAAGAGACAATTGTTGTAAGAAAATATAATTATTAAGAAAGAAAAATATGTAAATCGGTTGACCTTGGAGGCCATCCCTGTGGATGCCATCCCTGTGGAGGCCATCTCTGTAGAAGCTATAGTTGGAAAATTAAAAATTTTCATTGTTGATACACACCCCCACAACCCCCTGTGGGGTGATCTATCGTAAAATTCATTCATATACTATTTCTTCATCTCTGACAGAAGATTCCTACCAAATTTGGAGTCGATAGGAGCTATAGTTAAAAAAACGGGAATTTTTCATTGTTAACGCCCCCGCAAACTCCTTTGGAGAAGGAATTTCTTAAAAACCGTTCTTAGCTGACCTCTACATGGCAAAAGTAATATTCCTACCAAAATTCAAGTTTCTAGGTCTAATGGTTCCTGAGATATCGTGATAAGTGACTATATAGATAGGAATCTCTTATAATAGTATAGATAATATGAAATTGTTTTAATTACAAAGTACACTGAGAAAAAAAAAATACTTTTATTAAGAAAATTTTCTTGGTACAAGAATTCATGTTCTTGAAAATTTTCAAGGATATATATTCTTAGCTCAAGAACTTGTTAAATTGACTGAAATAATTTTTAATTAATTTAAATAAAGCTCTTCTCTTGTTTATCTATTATCCAAAGATATAATATCCGAATATTGATGCTCTTCTCTTCAGAAATTAATAATTAATAATAATAGAATATTTGATTGTCAGCGAATTTCTTGAACCAAGAAATTGTTACTTAAGTAGAAGTATTTTTTTTTCTCAGTGTAATATAAAATGAAAAAGTAATAAAACAAATTTCTTCTTTAGACAAATGCAATTGAACTTAAAAATCAACGTCAATCAAATACATCTCCAGCACGCAATCGTCGGCCAGGTAATGTCAAAAGCGTAACCAAAAATTCTCCAGGTGACTCAGAGGGTGCTGGTAGCAGTAATAAGAACAATTCAACTAAACAAGCAATCAAACGTAATTTGTTTGGTGACAGCAACAAGATAAGAAAATCATCGACTGTTTTAGCTAAAGAACTGCGCGATAGCCCTTGCGAATTTCATTATTATAAAGAAGAAATTAATAAGAAAGAAAAAGTTGATTATGATATTGAAAATATCGAGTCATATTTTACGCATTTAAAGAAAAATGATGAAGATGACGTTTTTGAGAACGTTGATGATGATGAATTTAGCTACAAACCAAGTGCTTGGACGCAATTTAAATTCGATAAGCAGACAATATTAAGTTGTATAAATTAAGCGTAAAGTAATTTTTACTTTAAAATTTATAATTTATATTTTTCGCATAATTTTAGAGAATAAATGTGATATTTACTGCTTCAATGACACATTAAATTAGTAACATCTCCATGTTTATAGTAATAAGTTTATGATCTCAAACAGAATTTTTATTATTATAAAATAATAATAATTTTTTGTCATTGTTATTTCAGTCAACAAATCAACTGTTTATGTAATGTTTTTTTGAACGCTTTAGAAATATTTATTTAGTAAAATAAATAGTTTAAAGTAAAAATGAAAATATTATTTGTTATTTTTAGAAAGAGATTATTTCTGTCATGACAGAAAACTGAATTGTACGGTAATTATAAGGACTAAGAAAATTGCAAGTATTAAAATACAAAAAATACAAAAATAAAAAAATGTTGTTATAATTTATAAATTTTAGAAAGTATATTAAATTTAAACCAATGATTTCATAAAAATTTAAACGGTACTGTATTCAGCAGAAATTTGATAATTTTTGAAATTTCTATAATAAAAAAGATATTTTACAAAAAATTTGAATATATAATTTTTATAAATTTCTATACGTAAAATTTTTTTACATTATTTTTTTTTTTTTTGATAATTTGAATGTTATAAAAATTTTGGAAATTTTAAGATATTAGTCCATTTTATTGTCAAATTTAAAAATAGTTTGTCAAGACTTAGATAATTTAAATATCTATATATTACAATTATTTCTTCTTTTAATTTTTTTATGTTCGATCTCGCAATTATTCTATTTTTATCAATAAATTGATGTGTTAATTTTATATTTTTATTTTATTAGTAACTCATCAGTTATTGCGTTTGAATATAAAATCAGTATGACATCTATATACATATATATACAAACGAACATAACCAAAGTGTAAACTAAAAAAATTTTTGTTGTTTGTTCTAAAAATTTTATCTAAATACTTAAAGAAGAAGAAATTTATTTATTAATTTTCAAGAAAACTAAATAATTAAAAGAGAGGATGTCTGATAATAAAAAAACATTTTGTGATGATATGCGAAAAGCAACGAGAGAAATTCATGCAATAAGCGATGCGTTGGTCAACGCTAAATTAGCATTAGGTAAATAATTAATTTTACCATAACTACTTTTGTATTTCTTACTGACCAAAATACTAAATTCATTTTCAGGTTTGCATAATAACAAAATATGGGCTGATGGGCTTTTGATATTCTATGAAATATTTAAATTTCTAGAAAAATCAATTGACGCTAAAATCTATGAGAAAATAGAACGTTTTCAATTTTTGTATGACTTGAAACGGTCACAAGCGATTGAAGATGATTTGAATTATTATTTAAACAAAGATTGGTTGAAAAACTACTCTCCTAGGTATGAAAATAATTTATAAATTATAATAATGAATTTAACAGCCATCTAAATATTTTTCTAACAATTAAATTAAATTAAAAAAATTTAGCAATAAAATTCTACATGTAGAAATTTTAATAAATTATGAATGCGAATTAAAATAATTTTTTATAACAATTGTTTGGTTATAAAAATTACAAGAATTTTCAGATGTCTGCTAATTTCATTATCATTATAAACTAGCAATCTGCAGATGACATTAAATTTAGCTGTCACTTCACAATTCTTTAATTTTCTTTAACAAACAAATGTGTTCCAAAAAATTGCATTTTTTATTTATTAAAATTTATTCATGTCAATTTTTTTTCTAACTTTATTTGTCATAATTTATTTGTTAAAAAAATTCTTAAAATTATCAAATATCTGCTAAATTAATTTTCATAATCTGCAGTCATTGCGTGATTGCCGATATTTACGGATTGTGAATAAAAAAACTTTGATTTAATGATTTTTACACGCTTTTTATTAGTTTCACTTGTATGTCAGTATGTCAGTATGTCATTCAGTATGTGACTCTCCGTGGGTAATTTGCGCGCCTGCGGCCTTCCTTGGTTCTGGTAGCCGTTTTTCAGGCTCCCTCTCCGAAATCGAACTCTGATTCCCCGTATTTATAATATTTATAAATAATTATTTTATTCTCACTAATCAATAAATTACTTACTGAAAATTTAATTTAATAAAAATAATAATTTAATTAATTAATCATTTAATAATTCAACAAAAATAATAATTATAATAGTTTAAAAAAACTAAAAACACGCTTTTTATAGAAAACCAAACTAAAAAATAGAAAATAAATTTAAATTAAGAATAGTGTTAAAAATTTCAATAAATATAAATTAATAAAAGTGTAAATAAAAAATATGTATTTTATTTTAAAAAAAGCGTGGGGGGCTTTTTAAGATATTATCAAAATGATAATCACTCTACTCATATCTGTCAATAAAATATTCATGACAATTAACACCATGCAGTGGTTTTTAGTTTTTTTAAACTATTATTTATGAAGATCACGGTCCAATTCAATGTAGTTTAATTATAATTAGCAATAAACTAAAATCCACTTATCGTTTGT